GTTTCCGGTAGCGCTATGACCAGCTTGAGGGTGAACAAAGTGCAGTGAACAGAGTAGGGAATATGGGTTGTTTGGGGATGGGCCAGAATTTGCCCCTTCTTTTTGAAATCGCGGTTGTTGTTTTGTTTGGCTTAACCCACCCAACAGCCTCCTCTAGGCAGTGATTAGTGTGGACGGACTCTACTCTGGCCCCAGGCTTAAGGTAATCAATGCTGGCATCAGATTTCAAGGGTCATAGTAGTATCCTTGAGCACTTGATCCAATCAGACATATTGGCTAGGAATATTGAGAAATGAGGCAAGTGTTCGTCCCCAGTAGATTTGATCAAGAGACAATATAAAAACTAGAGTTGCTCAAACCATTTCACAAAGCCCTCTGCCTGAAATGCAAGACTTTTAAGATAGAGGAGAGGGGAACAGGAAAACATGCTTGGTTTTATTTTTATCCTCAGAAATAAAAGTCCATGCAGCTCTAACTCTCACTTATATTTTTAAGAATTCTTTTATTTAACTTTATTTATTTCCTTTAATTTGACTAGAGAGGGGCAGAATGAGAGAGAGAGAGAGAGAAAGTGAAAGAGCAAGCCACTAGGTCTGGAACTCAAACCGTTTTTGGCCATGTGGGAGTCAGCATCCTTAACTACCATGCCACTTGCCAACCCCAACTCTCACTTACTGTTTAAGAAATTTTTATTTATTCTATATATCATTATTATAATTATTTTATGTATTTATGTATTTATTTAGAGATTTTTGCTATAAGGTGCTGTAAGGTGCATGCATTCGCCAGAGACAGAAAGACAAAAAGCAAGAAATCACCCCCCAGGAGGATGGCCACACTGCAATCCCTTCTCCTCCATTCTCCTCTCAAGGCTCTGGGCACTAATACTATGCGCCCAGCGCGAGTTTTAAGCCTCCGTGTCCGAGACTCACACCACAGTCAGCCATGTGGGAGTCCAGCGACATAACCATTATGCCATCTGCTAGTCCCAAGATACTCTTAACTGTGCATACAGGGTCTTAAGTTTTTTTTAACTTGACATTTTCTCCCTTTTCCTAAGTATATCATGTGGACTAATACATCATTTATTCTGTGTCATGGCAATTTTTAAAGAATTATTTCCTCTATTTTATTTATCATTATTGTTATTCACATGGGAATACAACGCCCCCAATCACCACACCACCTGCTGGCCCTATCATGGGATTCTTTAATCTCATATTTGTGTCATTACTTAAAGCACCACAGTAGAAAGTATAAACTACCCAGGAGTTAAATGAGTAAAGCCTTAAATTTTCTCTTTTATTTCTCAGGCCCTGAAAAATATTCCTGGTGTCTCCATGCAAACTGTCCATCATCATGCCCTAGCCCAGTTCCTGGTGTGCACAGTTCTGAGTTGGACACCGGCCAACAAGTTTCTCAACTCTGTGCCCTTGCTCTGATTCCTTCCATTCTCACTGGGCCAGGAGGAGGGAAGGAAGTATGCAGAGTCTCACAGACGGTGAGGACACACGGCCACTTCAGCCAACACTGAGCACCTGCTCCAACACAGGCACAGAGCGAGGCCAGGGAAGGCAGAGATAACGCCAAGACGCTCCTTCTCCCGCAGGGCGCTGGTGTGACTCAGCATCCCAGAAAGCTTGTCTTGAAGGGGGCAGTCCCCCTAGTTGCATACACTCCAAATGAGAAGAAACTTAGTCTCTCTTTCTTCTCTCCCCCGCTTCAGGGAGTGTGGACACAACATGGAGTCCCTTTGGAAGGTCAGCTGTGATGAAAGCTCTTTAGGTCTGGCAATTTTCCTGGACAAATTTCTCACCACGCACATCTCATACAGTAAAGTTCCTGCCTATGTTGAGAATGATCATGATACTACATGATCTCAGCTGTATAAATAGGTGTCTCCAGGCAAAATTCTTGGGATTAAGTCCAGATCTTCTAACAGTTAGTTGTGGAATCTTTTTTTTTTTTTTTGGAGAGTTTTTTTGCTATAGGGCACGTGCGCTTGCCAGACAGAGAGAGACAGAGAGACAGAAAGCGAGAAATCACCCCTCAGGGGGGATGGCCACACCACAATCCCTTCTCCTCCATTCTCCTCTCGGGATCTTGGGCACACATGCAAGGGCGCCCGGCGTGAGTTTAAGCCACTGGGTCCGGGACTTGGACCGCGGTGGTCTGTGTGGGAGTCCAGCGACAAAGCCATTACGCTAACTGCTGGTCCCTAGCTATGAAATCTTAAGAGATCATCATACCTCTCTATTCAACTTCAAAATGATACAGTTAGTTTAAAGGGCCTTCCAGCTCAGACACTTTGATTCTGAGGGTCTATAAATGAAAATAAATTTTTTGCTAGGTTTGAGTGTGTTGGCATGTATGCATTAGAGTAAAAAGGTGTGTACACATGATTTATTTGGTTAATGTTATTGAATTGATTATATAAAATGAATTATTCTGAAAGATGGATTAATTGAACAGATGAAATATAATTCATTGAAATCACATGCTATTATCTGCATTGATCACTATTTCTATAAATTTTCATAGTGAAATAGAATTGTATTTACACTGGAGAAATTACTTTTGCTGACCCTCAAAACGTTCTTTGCAAGGCCAGCAGGTGGAGCGATGGTTAAAGCAGCTGGATGCCGGGACCAGCAGTTAGTGTAATGGCTGTTGCTGGACTCCCACATAGTCGACCGCTGTTCGAGTCCCGGACCCGGTGGCTTAAACTCACGCCGGGCATGTGTGCGTGCGTGCCCAAGATCCCAAGGGGAGAATGGAGGAGAAGGGATTGCAGCATGACCATCCCCCCTGGGGGGTGATTTCTCACTTTCTATCTCTCTGTCTCTCTCTGTCTGTCTGGCGAGCGCACGCGCCCTACAGCGAAAACCTCTCAAAAAAAAAAAAAAAAAAGAAAAAAAAAAGCAGCTGGATCCCACATAGCTGACTGCACACTTCTAGTCCTGGGACCGGCAGCTCAAAAATCACATTGAGCACATGTGCATCCCTAAAATCTCAAAAGGAGGAAGAAATGGAGAAGGGATTGCAGTGTGACCCATAGGGAGTCCTTTCTTGTTCTCTCTCTCCTCTTTCTCAGTCTTTCTCCCCTTAGTGAGTGCACAAACCTCCTGGCAAAATTGAAAAAAAGCAAAAGGGAGAAAGAAAG